GGGGGGGCAATAACCCGCCTTGGTTGTATATTTCGGCTAATCCTCTCATGGTCCTGGCTTACACCGTCAGTCACGGGGGTAAACTAGAAAAGGTCAGTTGAGTGCACTGCCCATATGTTTTCGGATGATCGTCCTTCAGTCAGAGGATGTAAAAGGCGCCCGCGGTGGAGGAGGGGGGGGGGGCTGACTGGGATGGGACCTGGACCTAAATGGCTGGCTTATCTGTCCGGCCATCGAATCGACCGCGACACATGCAGGTACGGGGGAATATGGGGGGAAGTGGTAGAGGGGGGAGGGGCAAAGCGCGCCAAACGTATCGCATTGGTGTCGTCGGTTCGTCTGGGGGAGCGTCCAGGACTGCTGGGTCCTGGCAGGACAGGGCCCGTATCGGCCTGGACTCATATGCCAAGGCGGGCCGGACGGGCTGGGCAGCGCGACCCCACGCGGCCCCGGTCACAGCCGGTCACCGGTGCCCTGCCCCAAAATAAAGAAGAACCCGGGTCGGGAACAAGGCCACATACCGCATTGACCATGTGGGAAAGAGTGAGTTGGGACAATGTCACGCGTTTATCCGACGGCCTTGTACAGCGACACGATTTAACCAAGTCCACCACCGGCCCCCTCCACCCGCACCTCCCTGCACGAACCCTAGGCAGGACCGAGGGGTCGACAACTCGCGTTTTCCTGTGTGCAAAGTTTGACGAACTCCGCGCGTACCGGGTGTGAACTCCCTGTACCCCGACTACTCCGACTGGTTTTCGGGTGAAATTCGGCCGCTCTCCGGTTCTACTCCGGTTGTTCACCATAACATTTGTCAGGTTTATGACACAAATTTCTGCGGATTTGCCTACTCGGTCCATCCGTGAGGCTCCTAAAGTAAGCATACCCGCAAAACTGTTGTGTCGTAGCCCTGCCTCCGCTACTCCATGCACTCTTCTGTGTACACTCTTACTTCAGCCGAGTTGCCCACCCCTTAAAAACTCCTCCATTGCCAATTTGTCAAATATTTATCTTTAAAATATTACTGCCTCCTGGGCGGCATGCCTCTGCACCATCATGGTCGAGCTATTGGCTTTATAATTACGTTTGCATGAATCGAAAAATTGGCGGCCACAGGCCACAGCCGTTTAGACAGACTGTCCCTTCGTCTAGTCCTCTGCTCGGATGGATCACGTCTGCCGCATAATGCGACATCGACACCCTTGATCCAGTAGTCACCAAAGAGCCCGTGATCGTTCGACTTTGGCGAGATTGGCGGCCCGGCCCCCACCGCTCGGAATGGGATCTATATCGGCGTGCGGGGCGCAGCGGGGCCCGGCGTAGCGTGGCGTGGCGTGGCGTGGCGTGGCGTGGCGTGGCGTGGCGTGGCGTGGCGAGGTCCGACTGGACCGGGCTGTCAGCGTGCATCTTCACAGGTATATAAAAGAGCAGTTCCCTGAAGGTGGGCACACTTTCCTCTCCTTTGCACTCCACCACAGATACCCTCCCGACACCACTTCAAGATGATCGCCAAGGTAAGGATGCAAAATGAACGGCTAGCCCAATAGTCAAAAAGCTGCATCTATTTGTTTGTCTTTTTAAGTAGCCACTCTAAATCACCGAAATGACTTCACCCCCATCGTCTTGCAGGTATTCGTAGCCGTGTGCGTCCTGGCGACGGTGTCAGCCCAGCAGCAGCGCTACCCGCAGATCCTCAAGCTGAGCAGCGACGTGGGCGCGGACGGTCAGTTCCAGTACGCGTACCAGACGGAGGACGGCATCAGCGCCGAGGCCCGCGGCTCGCTCGTCGGCGGCAGCGCTCGCAGCAGCCAGGACTCCGACGGCCCCGCCACCTCCGTGACCGGCCAGTACTCGTACACGGGCCCCGACGGCCAGGTGTACACCGTCTCGTACGTGGCCGACGAGAACGGCTACCGGGCATCCGGCGCCCACCTGCCCCAGCCCCACCCCATCCCCGAGGCCATCCAGAAGTCCCTGCAGGTCACCTCCCAGTCCAGCTTCCAGGCCCAGCCCCAGGCCTCCAGCTTCCAGCGTTCACAGACCTTCACCTCCTTCCAGCAGCCCAAGGCCTTCGGCTTTCCGGCTCGCCGCTTCTAAGTCAGCACCATGCGCGCACCCCGTCTGTGATATAATTACTTAATAAACAAACTCCACTTTTTCAAAACACATTTATTGTATGTGGCCCCGCCAAGGCTCTTTCGGCCGAACCGTCCCAACGTGCGCGTTCGCCTTGAGTCCTCACAGCCTGACCGACAACCGATAGCCACTTGTCGTGCACATATGTGAGTTCTATTGCCTATAGCCCCGGCGTAGCGCACTGGACTCTGAGAGGAAGGAGAAAGGGGAGGAGCAGAGAGGGGGATAGTCCGAATCGGAATAGGCTTCTCTGTGGAGCTGGAGGTCAACGGGAGCGGTAGCTAGACCCGGCCGCGCCCTGATCCTCTTGTTTATCGCTGCGTGGTGGTAGCAGGTACCGGCGGATGCGTAGTATATATGACATTTCGGACCGAACGCGGAAGAGGAGCTGTGTGTTGGCTGCGTGTGCGGCCAGTGGTCCCGCCGGGGAAAAGAGTAAACCGGTGCGTGGGTCTTGAAATAAAAATAAATAAACACTGGATGCGTGCTTCTTCGGTAAAATTACGAGAAGTGAGAGAGGATATCTGGCCAGAGCCAGGGCAACTCGCGAACAGAAAGCGACCTCCCGCTGTTTCGCCCTGTCTGGTAATTTACTCGACCCCTATCCAGCGGAATGCCCCCCCCCCCCTTCCCCCCATGGGCTATTGTTGCGGACAAATGTCGCCTGCCTACTAATATGCCGCAATGCCTCCAGCACGAGCGTGTAAATGTTGACCAGTGGGCAGGCGTAGATGCATCTCGCACCACAGAGGTGAATTCCTGGGAATTTCTACTTCCCTTTTGTCGCACACCCGAGCACTCGGGCGCCCTCCAGTGCCGAAGCGCCTGCAAAGTGCGGATAGGCAACCCCGCAACGCAGCGTTGTAAGCCGGGCTGGCCTATCCGAAGGCGCTCGGGCGGGCGAGGTAGCTAACTGGAGCGGCGCTGGCTGGCTGGCACAGCTGAGCTCGCACTACTCGCTGAAAGGGGTAGGTGAGGTGCACACACTTAAGGGGTGGGCTCAGGACGCACCAAGCCAAGGGCTGACTGGTTTCCTTCCTGTCAAACGACGTAAAATTCGGCATCGCCTTTACGCCCATTTCTTCGGGAAAGCACCTTTGCTGTCGCTTCCGACCATCTTCTTCTCGGGGCCAAGGTCATCACGAAGCCGGGGAGGGGAAGGTCTGCGGCCGGAGCCGGGCCGGTCCGGTCCCGGGCTGCAAGTATACCCCAGCCATCAACGAAAGTCGATCGACGTCAAATCGACGTCGACGCAGTCGACGTCGCTCTGAAAACGAGGGGAGACTGGCGGGTGCGAACCACCAGTCGAGGACTGCTCTGCTTGCGGCAGCGGCACACGCTTCCAGCTGGCTGCTGCGACTTCAACTTCAACTTCAATGAGGGTTGACGCCTCCTTAATGCACTTTAACACCCCGATGGAGCGACCCTTTGCAGCAGACTTCTTCGGGGGCTCGAGGGACTCCGGCTCCAGTGAGAGCCGCGCTGACCGACCTGCAGGGACCACGGTCCCGACGGTCTAACAGCGGTCAGCAAAGACACCCGGACCCCCTGCTGCAGACGCTTCCCGGCTCCGAGCGGACCCAAGGTGGCCATGCAGCAGGACGCGCCGCTTCTCCAGAGACTCCAGAGCCCGGCGGCCCCTGCAGCGCCGGGTTGGTTGGGATGTCACACTCCTCATTATTTGAACAAGGCCGTTCCACTCCTGTGTCTGTGGCTCCCGCTGTCGCGGCGCGGAGCGGCGAGGAGAGGTCGAATCTCGTCCGACGAGTCGGCTCCGTCGGCTCCTCTGCTCCTCCGGCCGGCCGGCCGGTCCGCGGCTGCCCCCGCCCCCGCGCACCCCCTTTCAATGCCCCCCCGTGTCATGTTGGAGTGGTTTCCGCCCGTCGCGACATTGTATGCGGTGCGGAGGGGCCGGGGGCCAGCGCTGTACATGCAGGGCCAGGACGGGCGGCGGCGCCCCGCCTGCGCAGGGATGCGCACCTCTGCGCTCCCGCTGGGCTGCTGCGCGTCGGGCGGCTGGAAAACTACTCGCGGGCGTAATTTAGCGAATTTGCTCACGGGAGGTTCATGAACTGTTTGCCGCAGCTTCATGAGCTGCGCGCGGCCCTACTCGCCGCGCCCTTCCTGTGCGAGCCGGGGGAGACGCTCTGCTCTGCGCCGCCGGTGGAGTCGCCGCAGCCTCTCCCAGCCCCTCGCCGCCCATGATGGATGTGACCGTACCCGAGAACACGAAAACCGATTCCAGCTTTGGATACCAAACCTCTAGAGCCGTGCCCTGACGCAACCCAGCCGACGCGTGACCCTGCCCGCTGCCCGCGTGCCCGCCCGGCCCATAGCTCCGCACAGATGGCGTGAACGACCGCCCGGATTGTTACGACTTTCTCATCTCCGCGATCTGGTCCTTTTTCTTTTGATGCTTTTGCCCAGCAGGCGGACTCCACATTTCGGAATACTACGTTTTTACGGGTTGGAATTGGGAAAAGAAAGAAAGAGCAAGAGGCAGGGGGTTTGTAGTAAGTAGAGTAATAAGGGTCGACCGAAAATTGGGGGTGGGTGGGGTGTAGAGCAAGTTGCCCAAATACCAGGTGGATGACTCACGCCGCGCACTTGTCTGGTTATTCTGTACGGCATGCACGCGTGCGGGCGGGTTTAGCCTATCCCTGCTGCCCGTGCACGGCTCCTTTCGGACCCGTGCGAATAGGCAACCCGCCCGCCCGCGTGCATGCGGTACAGTACGACTGCGAAAGTCTTCCGCGTGAGTCAGCCACCTGGTACAGGAGTTTTGTAGCTCAAATTTCCTACCTTTCAAGCGACCATCTAGAGGGCCGGTAGATGGGCCGGTCGCCCCCCCCCCTCCCTCCTTCCCTAAATACGCGTCTGGCAAGAGGGCTTCATCCTCCTAGACGAGCTGCGAGTCGCTCCGCTTCACCAACCTTTGCAGGACCGGCGGCAGAAATCGGCTGAAAGCTTTAATTAAACGGACAAGTTTACAATGGGGTCTTACGGTCACTCAAGTCAAGTTAATAAGCGGCAGCCCGCGAGGGGGTTTCATGTTGCTGTTGCACTAACACACACAGTCCATACACCCGCAGGACCAGCAGGACCAAAACGAAGCATCTGGTCGTGCTGAAGTTGGCCGTTTACAAACCCAATTCATTGAATCCAGAGCAGGCTATTATTGGCGAGCGGGGGGGGGGGGGGGGGGGGGGGGGGGGGGGCAGTACGCGGGATACACATCTCCGCGTATCGACATCCAGATTCCAGGAATATTCCGCCAAACTAAATGGCTCAATTTACCTGCTAAAACAATTAAACATCATTTCCGCGTGTTTACCTTTTTGCACCTCTCCTTTGCTCAACAAGGCGACACGCGCGCACGCGTGCGAGCCAGGCCCAGGCTGGCTGCTGTAGGCTGCCGTGCTGCTCATCTTCAGTTCTCAGATGGGGGCGGGGCGGGGCGGGGCTTGCCGGCTGTGCTTTTATTTTGTGATGCGCCGCCTGCGCCGCCGGGTGGGAGGACCGCGCCGGCCGCGCGCCCGACCCAGCCTATCTGGCCTAGTATATAAGGGGAAGTCCCCGTCAGATTTGGCACCAGTCGCTCAGTGCTCTTCTCTCCTCCACACACCCGGGACTTCCCTCCGCCGGCGCAGACATGATGAAGCTCGCGGTAAGCAGGGTGCTGTGGCGAGTGCGTCGCGTGTGAGGTGTGAAGCGGTAAAGTGTGACAACAGTGACTAAGAAATTGTGTGTGTGTGTGTGTGTGTGGCAGGTCGTTGCAACCATGCTGGTGGCAGTGGCCTACGCCCAGCTACCCCAGCAGCCCATCCCCATCCTGAGGCTCGAGTCCCAAATTCAACCCGACGGCAAATTCCAGTACTTGTAAGTAGCCACGACGAAAACGAGACGGCAATATTTTCTTGTTCTCTCGACTCGGTTTTGGGTGGACCCGGGAGGAGCGGCAGTGCGGCGTCCTTGACCGGCACTGCCGGAGACGGTCCGACCGGATCCGGCCTTGGGAGCCGTCTGTCAAGGCCGCATGACGCCGGGCCGCGAAGACGGGCCTAAACGCGCGGTCTTTTTCGCTTCCAGGTACGAGACGGGTAATGGCATCCAGGCCCAGGCCATCGGCGACCAGAAGCCCGCCGGCCGCGACGGCCCCATCCAATCCGTGCAGGGCCAGTACGCCTACACGGCTGACGACGGCACCCCGGTCCAGATCTCCTACATTGCCGACGAGAACGGCTACCAGCCCCAGGGAGCCATCCTGCCCACGCCTCCCCCAATCCCCGAGGCCATCCTGCGCTCCCTGGAGTTCAACGCCCGCAATGGTCCTCAGCGGAGGAAGTGAACGGCTCGACTCGCGCCTTAGACAATAAGCCCTTCCCCCATAGACATTCTATTCTATTGAATATGGCCTTCCTGTTTTCGGGCTCTGTGAGTCCACCTACCTAGTGTACATACGTGAAAGCAAAAAAATAAAAATAAATATATATACATAGACAACTGCTGCTTTGGAGTATCTGCGCCTTTGATCTCTTCAGTGAGAGTGCTTGAAAGAGTGCCACACATCCTCTACTCACACAAAGCTAAAAGGGATCTTGAGAAGTATGCTGTCTAAATTCTGCTAATTTCACATATGGGTTTGGGTTCAAGATCATTTACACATTGGAGTATTCATAAACACTTTACTTAGTAGACGCTCTGC